ATAATTCACACACACACTCACACACACACACACACACACACATATATATATATATATTGCTGGTGTTAATAAAATAGTGCTCGATGTAACAAAAACAGAGCTATACATATTTCGCAAAATAAATCTTTTTGATGAACAGGATGGAGTTGTAAGCGGTGTGATATTTTTGGCTTCCTCGAGAAGTTCGTATCTCTCAGCATCATATTATCTACCCCTAGCGACCCAATATGGCTTACTATTGTATTTTTAGGATTCATTTTGATTTAATATAGCACTGTATTCGTGTTTAGTCAGTATTATTAACGTTTTATATGAATGTACAGGTGTTTAGTTAGTATCATTTACATCTTACTGTTTATTTAGTATTATTAACATCTGATATTGATGCTCTTTACTTAACGGTTGCATATTAATATGCCAAAGAAGTTTTGTACTTATGATCTGTTTTTTTGTTGTTGTTTGTTTGTTTGTTTTTCTTTTTATTTCAAACGGTTAAGTTATTTACCAGTTTCTTACAGTGGTCTTTTATTCACCAACTACAAAATTTTATTTTATTTTATTTTACATTATTTTAAACTTATTTTTTTTAAATGGTCAGCGTTGCCTTTGTTGGAAATATAATTGTTTAACATGATCTGGTTATATTAGGATATAGATCCATCTATGTTGTTACCATAGCTATAGCTGATCATGACATTATTTTTGCTAATTATTTTTTAGTGTTGCTGAATGGTTAAAGTGCTTATGAATAATCAAACTTGGGCTAATTTATGTCATTTATCTAGAATTTTATGCTAGTAGTTTGATTCTTTATATTTAGTTCGTGAACTTTAAAAAAATTATCGGTTCCTTCCTCAGTCGTGAACTTGTTTTACGGAAGAGAATTACACCGTTACCTTTATAGAGTCCGGTGTTCTTAATGTCGAAAATAAATCTTAGTCGCCACAATAACATGATTCCAACTAGTTCACATGCCTCTGCTGAATCAAATTCTCTCACAGCAATATTAAATTCTGGGTTACTTCTGTTGGTCCACTGATAGCCATTATGGAATAATATGGGTTTTTGTGCCTGCTTTATGATATTTATTTCACGATCGCTAATACAACAGTAATGTTTTGCTAGATTTATAAAAGACATTAACAGATTCTCAGGGATGGACGAGTAAAAGTCACAAATATCCAGTGAGATGTATGTACATTCATTCTTATTTTTTTATGTTGGTAAACCATTCTATGGCTTCTGCTGTTTTAAGCTACTTGTTAATTCCTAGAGAATTTTTACTGTTTCATGAATGTTTTTGCTGATTTTACCGATATTATTCTTAATTAATTTTCACCCCTTCAAACGTTATTTTTTGCAGACGTGTTTACACGTGTGTGAGTAGATGCTTCGTTTTATTTTAGACAATATTTAATCGCATACCCGACTGCTTACCCGAAAAAATAATGACAAATCTGAGCGTATACTGAAAAACGAATATTCACTAAAAATAACGCTTGAAGTAATAAAAATATATCGTATTAAAATTAAAATTACTAATTCATTAGAAATTTTATTTTATATATATTTATATATATATATTTATATTTATGTGTGTTTTGGTTGGTTGGATGTGCATTAAATAAACTTCAATAACATACTTCCAGCCAAAAAAAAAGGAAAAATGAAAATATATAAATCAAATATAGAATCAAATCGTTACTGCGGGTCATGAAGTACAGAGATTTCTAATCGGAATGAAATTCTCATTTCTTCCTTACCTAATTAACTCCCTTTATTCGCTACGAATTTATGTACTTTTTCCTAACATCAATCATTTCGTTCAAGCCTCTTACCGAAACGCTGTTTGTAAATCTTTTCGTTTCTTTCCTTCTAATTTTTGGGTGCATAACGATTGTCGTAATATTAATGTCACTTGTGATGGTGGGCGGGGAGAAGTAAGTACATGGGCAGAGAGAGTGAAAAAACAGCTCGAATTAATTAAGTGTTCAATAATATTCTTTGGAGTACATTACTTTAAATAAATCATTTAAATCTATGTGGGCGGGATTTGTTTGCCTCGCCTTTCTGTCTGTGTCGTTTTATGTGATACAGAAGATTAGCAAAAATAGATACACATCAAAAGATGGACCGCACACTCCCATGATGTAGGTGAGTATGTATATAGTCTTGTATACCTCTATACAGATGCATGAGTAGACTGACAAATATGTACAAAATGTATGTGAGAGAGAGAGAGAGAGAGAGAGAGAGAGAGAGAGATAAAGAAGGAGATGATGCAAAAGATTTGAACCCAACTCAAATAGGTATAAATATATTTGAATATATATATATATATATATATATATATATATATATATATATATATACACACACACACACACACACACATATATATATATATATACACACACACACACACACATATATATATATATATATATATATATATGACAGAAAGAGATCGAGAGAGAGAGAGAGAGAGAGAGAAACAGACTGAACTTGCATAGAGAAATACAACTGGCTGCGATAGAAGATAGACTAATATGAATAGACAGGGAGTCCAATGCTGTTCTTCTCATAAAATGTAACCATGGTGGAATTGAGACTTTCCTGGTGCAATTACAACTTCACTAGGCTTCTCATGTTACAAGGATGAGTAATGACAGAATCCCTAATGACCTCATGTTAAGCCAGCTTTATAGTAGACAAATGACTGTTGGGCAGCCGTGGCTCGGGTATAAAAACAAGCTAAAAGTAACCTCACAGCTCTGAATGAGCCTCATACTAAATTAGAGCGAGTTGTTCTGGATAAACACAACTGGAGATATTTTTGTTAGAGTGGTATCAGATATTTTGAAATCAGTCGGAAAGACGAAATAAAACGGCGAAAAAAAGCATCAGCAAATATTTCTATGACAATGTCCCGAGATTTTTCTGTAACATAATATATGGAATTCTATACAAGTCATTTGCTGGACTGATGTGCCACATACGAAACAAGCATAAAAAACTGAATGAAGTCGGATACACATATGTCGAAATCGACAGAAGAGTTCATCATCTATATGAATAAATGCGACACTGGAGCTTTATACACCCACAGAATTCTGGGATTAAAAGGCCCACATTTACTTTATAGTAATTTAATATTTACTCGAAAACGAAGTTGCGTTGTGTTACTAGGTCTGCTTAATGTAGTTAGCCTGAGCGCTTTACACCCAGGCTAGGAACAAAAATTCCCCGAGACACCGCAACCAGCGGCTATGCTAGCCTTGTCGCAAGCATCGATCCTTACCTCTGGTGCAATGAGAGGGCGCGACCTCGGGCAGTTGTTCCCCATGGCTTGGCACTTCTCAGTATAATTTTCTTCAGTTGCACTGCGCAAAGACTGAGACGCAACTGAGAGATGATAAATAATCGTATTGCAAACTAATCGAAAGAGTAATTTATGTTTACTCAACACCTCATGTCGTCAGGTTGTGAAACAAGGTCGGTTTAATGTGGGGAGCTCGAGCGCGTACATCAGGGCTAGGAAGAAAAATTGGCTGATATCCCGTCAACCTTCGGTTTTGCTGGCGAGCACCGATCCCTCTCACTGTTGCAATGAGAGGACGCAGCCTCAGGCAGCTGTTCTCCAGGTCCGTACACCACTCAGTATAATTTTCCTCAGTTGCGGCTCTGTCCATTGACGGGGCTGGTCCTAAGTCCACTCTGCCCAAAGACAGAGACACAACTGAGAGATGATAATAGTGTGTTACAAACTACTCGACAGAGTAATTTGTATTTACTCACCCTCACCCACGATGTAACGTTGTGACACAAGGTCGATTTAATTTGGGGAGCCCGAGCGCGTACACCCGGGCTAGGAACAAAACTGCCGGAGCTATTGCAGCCGTCGGTTGCGTTGGCCTCGGTGCGTTCACCCATCCCTCCCTCTGGTACAATGAGAGGGCGCGGCCTCGGACAGCTGTTACCCAGGGCCGGACAACTCTCAGCATAATTTTCCGCACTTGCGACACTGTCCTTTGATTATTTCGGATCTGATGAAGCCTTGAATGGCGAAATGCATTATCAAATCTCTTTTCAAACAAATCTATTGCATGAAATATTTCCATTTTTTTGTCCAGATTTCTATATCCTAATACATATATATATATATATATATATATATATATATATATATATATATATATATATATATATATATATATATGTATGCCTTAGTAGCATGGGAATACTTCCCGAAACAAATGTGGATATAATGAGGAAAAATGGAAAATATTTTAACAATGCATTTCGTCTATGTGTGTTAGTTTTGGTGTCGTCAGGTCAGAATGAAAGACAAAAGTGTGTATAAGATAAATGCGTTGTGATTTTTGTACATTAAAACGGGCAATAAATTATATTTTCTTAGCAGATCCGATGACCAGCATGTATTTCACCTTTTTTGGGAATCGTCGATCATATTGCACTTTAGAGTCGACCTTCGTTTTTCCTACTAGCGCTTATATCACATGGTGTTATTATCGTTTATTTTTAAACTGTCGTAAATATGAGAATAAAAGTGAGTACAAATGCAAATAGTGTAAATAAAAAAAACCTCTTGTAATGTAATATTTATCGTGTAATTCGTTGAAGTATTTTGCTGATGTTTATTGAATCTCACAAAAGGATAGACACAAATCAACAGCACAAAACAACAGCTTATTGCTTATAAGCCAAGTTTCCCCGAAAAGACTGACGAGTCAGAATAAGAAACTTCCAAACGGAAATTTGGGAAAACATTCGAATATTTCATAAATTTTATTGATTAACCAATACTTCGTTCTTTACCTCCCTCAGTAAAAGATAAAAAGGAAGAAATAGTCTCTAAAGCCCCGTAAGTATAAAAAGAATATATGTCTTTATTCAAATGCTGTGTTTTGGCTTCTTAAAATTAGATGAGCATCTAGTGAATAAAGTGACATTTGACAAAAGGACATACTTGATCTCACCTGAAGTACCCTTTTGGTCAGGCCTGTTTTCTGTGCGAGTTGTTTTAGGTCCTTTGTGTCGGGGTTATGGTTGAGGGCGAAATAGGATTTGAGTGTACGAAGCTGGTGGTGTTTGAACGAAGTACGCATTCGTTTCTGCCGTGGGGTCGAGTAAGCGTCCCTGTCCAGATCGCTGGCCTGGCGGTCAAGATTATCAGTGGCACCCACCACACCTAAGATACAAAGAGAGAAATATATAAGTAAGAACAGAAAGATAGGGGAAACAACAAAAATATATGATGAAAATAAATTAGAGGACGCTTTCAGAATAAATGTCTTATGTTTTTCACTCAAAGGAAATTTAAAGAAACCTATTCATTTCTTTTAAGCTTTCTTTCTATAAACTTTGATTTTTCTTGTTTTGTTTTTCTGCTTGAGAGAGGGTCTGGTCTTCGCTAAGAGTTACAATTATCGCTGCGGTAAACAGAATCGAAGAGCCGAGTTCAAATTCCACCTAAGTCTGTTGTGTTCACGTTTGCACTGTGCTATATAAGTCAATCCAGAATTCCTTCAAGGGGGATGACAAATCTCAGCAATTCACAGATAATAAAAAATTATCTGTGCTACAATCGCCTCCTTCCAGACACTTCTACTATGTGCCGTTCTTCGAGACGTGGTCAATCATGGCTCTCCACAATTTCCTGTCCTTTGTAGCTCTTAATATGTTTTTTATTTTCGCTATCATTCTGCTCTGTTCTGCTAACCATTTACACAAGTTTGTTAATTAGATTATGCGTTGTTTCCTTTCCACACTTACCTTCATTAGGCCCTGTCAGTATCAAATTTCCAAACACTCTTTCCTCAGTATGTGCTCTACAAATTTCAACTGTGTCTTTCTGATCTTAAGTATAAGTGTCTTTGTTTGTTTTTTGTTTTCTATGAAACTTCGTAATTGCTAACATGTTCAATCTAAGGTAATCTCAACATCCTTCGGTAGAACCACATTTCTGCTGCCCCTAATCTCTGCCATTCAATGCCATACATGAGGACTGTTATTACATAACAGTATCGCATTAAAAACAATTTTCGGTAATTAAATCAAGCATTATGGATATGCATCTGATGTAAATCGATCCTGAATCACAAGAATCAATATTTTTTCCTTCCATGGATAGCATCTTAAATATTAATAATGATTATTTAATGTGAAGATAGTTTGACACTTATCGGTGCATAAAATGGAATCGTCGCGAATAACTGGGTCGTCAGTTGCGTTCAGTTTCGCTCAAATTCTCTTGTGAAAGGCGATAGCATAAATAGCAAAGTAGACTGACCTCGTTAGTCGTAGATGGCAGCTAGTTATTGAGAAAGAAAGTTCTGAATTCAAGCCTGCGGAGAAGGCAAGTGAAAACCACTCCACTAACTTTCCCAAGAATATCCATCAGAATTCATGATTATTAAAGCTATAAAGAGTTATGACAGATTATGTCCTGAAGACGGATTTTTGAGTGTTATAATTTGTTTTTAAGTGATTTTTATTGTTAAATAATAATTTAGCAGACTATTATTTTGAGGTATCTCTGTCCAGACTGCCTGAAGTTGAAATTTGGGGTCATATAGTAAACAAAACTATATATATATATATATATATATATATATATATATATAAAATCAAAGACCCTTCCTGTGACTCCACAGATGAAGAGATTGCGAAGCAAACCTTTGTTGCACACCATGTCAAATATGTTCTTTGAACCTGTAAACGATTTTCAGCGCACCATGTCCTCTTATCCAACTCAATTCGAAATTAAGATGTCTTCATTTTCGAACGTCAAAGTTAATCTTAAGCCATCTTTAACTAATTGTTTGCCCAATTAAAGTTAATAAATAAAAAGGGGCGTTAGTGTGCGCAGATCCGCATCGAAATTGCCATTATTAGGTATTTTGCGTTTTTAGGTTTTCGTTTCTATATCTATCTATCTATCTATCTATCTATCTATCTGTCTGAAAGTATATATATATATATATATATATATATATATATACAAACACTCATAATTATTTGCATTTGCCTGTGTGGTCTAGGACCACAAAATTCATTTATATATATATATATATATATATATATATATATATATATATATATGTATGTATGTATGTATGTATGCCTCTTGTCTTTGCGTGGCGCTCACGTATTAGCGTGTTTATGTGTGAGAGTGCGTGTGTAAAAGTTCCTGCAAACTCGTTTTGGGAAACTAGATAGACAATAAAATGTAGAAAACCTGCTATATGAATTAGAAAGCAGGACTCATTTGTACGCTGAGAAATCACACACAAGCTGCCACACCAACACTCAGGGACACACACACCATTTTTTATATATATATATATATATATATATATATATATATATATATATATATATTCATCTTGTAGAAAACCGGACATACATATACCCAAGGGAGAACAGTTTATCGGCCAAACTTTTTTTGATTGTAACTGCAATATTCTTCGTATAATAATATATTGAGACAAGAGTGCATAAATTACATACTTACATACATACACACCGAATACATATACCCACATTTATATGCGTACGTGTGTGGTAAAGGTCAATTCGCTCAAAGGCATGCATTCACTTAGAACCATATGCGTATTGCATCACATGGCAAGACTGTCATTATGTATGTATAGACATATACAGGCAGAATTCTTTTGAAGGTGACAAAATCTCCGTCGAGATTCACGACCCAATATTTCTGTTCTGACAGATGGCAGAGCGATGAAGACGACAACAAAATCTCTGCTTCAAGGGCGTTCAACACTGAATGTTTTTTTCATGCATTGCACACAACATCATTTTCCAGAGGAAATACGAACACAATCACATTTACCTTATGTCGTGTTGACATATATACACATAAATGTATCACACACACACACACTCTGTGTTCACACACACACACACACACACACACACACATATATATATATATATATATATATATATTTAAGCAAAGGTTGAATTTTGAATTTTGTATTGAGCGTTTTTTTTTTGTTGTCTATACCTTTTGGGTGCAGCTGCTTTTAGCTTTCCTCTTACATTCTTTCTCTCTCTCTCTCTCTATCTATCTATCTATCTATCTATATATATATATATATATATATATATATATATATATGACCGTTCGCCACACAGGGTATAGGACACAGTCTATCCTGCTATTTTCTCCTAGCTGGCGGGGAGGAGATCTAGATCCATAACTTTCGCAATGGTGTTAGCACGTAATTGAATGCAATGAACTCAACTGGAATTCGTATTCGGCTCTATCATTCTTCAATCTGAATCACAATCCATTACTGCACCTACTTAAGCAGAAGGACAACTCAGAATTCCCATCATGCAGAGCGTCGTTTGGGGATCTTGTGGCATACTACGCACTAGTTGTCTGTACAGGGCTCTTCCAAAAGTGTAGATTCTGCACAAAAATTCATCCTATAATCAAATGACTTGTGGGTATGGCTCTGGCTGTTGGTTCTCAAAACTGAGCTGGATATTTCGCATATGCTTATTTCTGAGATTTTTATCAATGTTGGTATGAGTCGTTGTTGTGAAGCTGGATACGAATATAATTCTCATTACGGGTCTTGCTGTCATTTTAACATATATTAGTGATCTGTTTTTTAACATATGAAAATGCTCCGGTTTCACAAGATGAAAAATCACAAGCAATCTGAACAGTATTTGCAAAAAAGGCATATATATGACAATTATATATATATATATATATATATATATATATATATATATATATATATATATATATAGTTTATGCAAATTTAGGAAATACGTATGGGTAGACCTGAGGAGGATGATATCCAGAGAGCTCAATGTAAAATTCAGAGCAGATATGTTTGAATAAAAGACAGACCACGTTAAGATTCCATGTAATAAGCTATTTCACCATAACCCCTTTAACAGGGTTCTGGATCATCAGACTTTACTTCCAAAAGTTGAAATGAAAAATGAAAAGAAATTCACACGTTTTTGACGGACCTCATCAAGTATACGTAAAATTAACGAAGTGAGGAAGTGAGGTGGGAGAGAGGATATGAGTGTGTCATATGTATCATTTCAGTTTCCTATTTTTAACCCCAGTGTGTCGGCTAGATGTTGCTCAAATTTAACGCGTCTCGTCTCTAGATATAGATGGCTAAGGGATGAATGATAAGAACGACATTAAAGGAAGAAGTTACAACAACCCCAATAAATTACACGACAGGTTTCATTGAAATTCTTAGACGCTGTTAATTCGCGCCAGAAACTACCAACCTAGGTTTCTCCTAAATGGATCTTCATAGCGAACTGGCTGAAGAGGATATGACAAAGGCATTAGTTGTGAGAACAAAAAGTCTACATTATTTCATAAAGAAAATTTTAAAAAGATACTAAAAAAAGGAAAACCCAATGTTTAAATGGGAAATAATAAAAAAAAAATGTTATAGATATAAAGTCGGCAATAGGTATTGCTGCCTGTGCAGGGAAGAGAAACTAGCTATAGATATTTTAGTAAACCCGATACGTTACTTAACCAAATATCAGAAATCGTTAACGGGTGTAAACATGAGAAATCATTTTTATTGGAATAAAAGAATACTTATTTTTTGATTTTTTAACGTCGGGTTTTTTTTAATGCTAATTTTAGTTTTTAGTGTTGTCTTTTTTACCAATAAATATGTTCCTTTGTCATATCCTCTTCAGACAATTCGTCCAATAGATTCATTCAGGTGAAACCTAGTTTGGTAGTTTCTGGTTCACTGGTATTTTTATACTCTTGTATACTTAGGGTATTTGACATTTTACGATTTTTCTTATTTTATTCGATTGGGATTTTTTTCCCTTTGGCTAGGGAATTACGGTATCGGGCGATTTTTTCGACCTATTTGGATGTTTTTAGTCTTTTCTTTTTTTGAAATTTTTTTTCACCAGATACCATTTTGTTTAAATATATTTTTATTTGCAAATTGTGTCATCAGGGTGTTTTATATGAGTTAATAATAGGTATTAAAATAAGCATGATATATATATATATATATATATATATATATATATATATATATATATATATATATATATATATATATAT